TTCATTTTCCCCCAACGCATCAATATACAACTTCGTTAGGCGTAATTCGTAATAGTTATCATTATCATGATAAATGGTGGGTTCTGTGCGCCAGGGTAACTCCCGGGGTGAGGGCTTCTGTCAGCCGAGCAGACGGTAACTAGGCGTGACCATGTAGGGTAGTTTGGAACGCCGAGAGGGGGGGGGGGGGGGGGTACAGGTACGAGACAACTCTGGGAGCAATTGGCTAGCCTCCATTGCATGCCAAAAACTGGGTTTTTTTGGGGTCTTCGGGATCTTTTATGTGCTATTTTCTGATTGCATATAGACAACATAGCCGGCCTGATTGAATCACCCTAGAATTACCCCCGTTTTTTTTTAACTGGGCTAATCAGAAAAGAGCCGAAGACCACCAAACCCCCAGTTCTATAAGCCTGCTACGGAGGCTAGCAATTGGCCAGGTGCGGTCAAAGCTGGTGTGTTACGTCGAGGCAACACACTGCCATTGTACATTTTCTATATCACAGCCAAAAAGCTTAAATAAAACCATTCTAAAAGCCTGTATGACAAAAAAAAAACGCATTGGGGTATCTGCCGGCGCCCATTCTACCTTCATGCCAAATCTTATTTGTCCCCAAAATGAAGGAGTTGAATCAATTTAAAGAAATGGCAGGAGGAGAAGAAGAAGAAGGAGAAGAAACATGAGGAAAAACAATATGTCTTCACCACATAGCAGTCTGACCAGATTTTAGGCCACGCCTACTTTTCAAGACGAATCGAATCAAATTTGAGTTAAATTTGAGTCAAGTTTGACTGACAACAATGTTTGGAACAATGCTGATCTTCTCCCAACCGCCAGCCGACCAGTGCACAACCGTGTCCGAACTTCCCGTCCAGTCCCGAATGTATTTTGAAACATTAATTGGGCTGGTGCAGCCGACCTGTAGCCGACCTCACCGAACACCAGCCAACCACACTCGATCTTACTCCCGACCAACTCCCAATCATGGTTGTGAGGAGTTCGGCAGTGTTCGGCTGTGTGTGGGCGCCACTCCCGCGCCCAGCCGCCGTATTCAAGACGTCGCTTCTTCACGGCAAGATTTATGTCCTCTCATCTTCGTTCCTTGTTAGGCATTAGACACTAAAGGGGGAAATCTACCGTGCAAACACTGTATATCAGCACGTCACCCGTGCACGAGGCCCAATTATCAGGTGCTCACCCCTTTTCTCACTGTTTTTCCTGGGGATTAACCACCGCACGAGCTTGCCCCGTGATTGATGAGGTTCTCCTTGGGACCCCTATGGGACCGGCGCCCGAGGCTTGCCGTTCTCCGCTTCGGTAGCCCCGCGTGGGGATGATCGATGACACCACTTAAGACTTGCCAGCGTCGAAGGCAATTAGTCAACTCCAAATGACCTTTTCCCATCCCAAAATTCCTCGTTAGCGGGACGGGAGACTAGTTTGCGCGGCGGATAGATGAATATTTATCGGCGACTGACGCTTGCTGATGGAGATTATAATTGTCGTCGAGTCATCCTTCGTATTGCATACGCATATGTTTTCCCAACGAAAACAAATGTCAGGGTGGATTGAACGGAATGAACTCATCAGGAAAATACATTAAATTTAGATTGCGCCATCGTCGGCTGTCAGGAGCTAACGTCGTCTTGTCGGGGGTAAAATGATGAGATGTACCTATGCCGTACACAGGTCCATAAGTAAAGTACTCAGTAATGTTAATGTGGTGTATATATATTCCACGGGGGGAGGGAACATAGCTTGGCATGAGTATACGTTATCCTTTCGCCAATAACACGATGTTTTCTCAGTGTGTTCAAGTTTAAATGGAAATTGGGACGATGAAAGTTAAAAAGATTTATCTCATAGAACTTGAATAACACATTTAAGTACACAGTGAGATGTGACAACCCCTGAATGGTATACATAGGCAAATTCATTAAAGAATTCTCTAGATGTTAGAAAATCCTCCAATGATGGTAAAAGATCTTTGTCTTCTATTTCTTACGACTCCCTACATGTTAGCCAAATAAGCAAAAGCAACAGACGACGAAATATCTTAAGTAATACGTCGTCTTAAATCAGGTGTCTTGAAACTTTCTTAAAGACACAAGTCACCACGTCCTCTTGGCGTCTAAGAAAGCCACTTGTCTTCTTGATGAATGAAAATCATCACGAAGTTCGCTCCAGGAAATGTTAAAGTAAGAAGAGGCTTATGGAACGAAAGGTCAATGTGTGAACTTGGCTTTGTTGTTTGGTAGTGAGTATTAAACTGTCAAGCCGTTGTCAGTTTCCTAATCTCTCGAAATACAAGTCATTAATAAGCTTGACGTGATGTTTGATTACTTCCTCGTGGATTCAAACAGCCGAGTTAAGATCGCTTTTGAAAATTCAACACCCAACTGAGCGTAGCTGGGAACATATGCTTTCCCATGTATCTACTGAGATTTGTTCTTGTTGCTAAGGCCATGTTGAGTTGATTATATGGATGACATCCGCGCGCGCATGAATTTTCGGCCGTTTCCAAAAAAAAAAGTTTTCAACCAGACTGTAAATCGTACAAAACAGTTGCAAAATGAGCAAAAATATACCATAAGTTACAAAAAAAATTGATAAAAACTATACCAATGTCGTAGAATGCCAAAATCAAACGAAAAAAGACGAAATTGTAAAGAAATGAACTTGAAGACTAGATTATTCGCTAAACCATATTCTGTGCCATTTGCTCAACCCTCATGACCACGTAGCTTTCATAATGAAAAGAACTTTTTTTTTTGCAAAACTTTTTTTATTCGCACGCGCGCATCAGTTTTGGGGCTCCCGGAGGATGTCATCCATATAATCAAATCAACATGGCCTAAGTACTGTATACATCTATGCTTCACTAAAACATTACACAAAACTTTATACTTTTCAGAAAAAGACTACAAAGGGCAATAGAAATAGATGAATACACGGAACAATGGCAATTTCTTAAATGATAATCATCTCTGTAACTCCCTAGACGTTACAAAATCCATATTTGTTCCTTATGTATAATTATTTACGATTATGTATTAAAAGAAATATATTTAGATTTACCATAGTTGTGGAAAGATTGACCCGGCCCATGCATACAATACGGTAGCAATAGAAGTACTAAGAGTATTGATGCTAGTAGTATACTACTAGTTTTCCAAGTCCATTAAGATGTTGTTATTCTTAATAAATGAGATTTGGACACGTTGTTTTCCAAGTTCATTCAGATGTCGTCTTCCTTAGAAAAATGAGACTTGGAGACGTTGTTTTCCAAGTTCATTAGATGTCGTTATCCTTAGAAAAATGAGGCATGGAAACGTTGTTTTCCAACTTCATTTAGATGTCGTTATCCTTAGAAGAAAGAAACTTGGAGACGTTGTTTTCCAACTTCATTTAGATGTCGTTATCCTTAGAAAAAGAAGACTTGGATACGTTGTTTTCTAAGTTCATTTAGATGTCGTCTTCCTTAGAAAAAGGCGACTTGGAGACGTTGTTTTCCAAGCTTATTTAGATGTCGTTATCCTTAGAAAAAGGAGACGTGGAGACGTTGTTTTCCAAGTTCATTTAGATGTCGTTATCCCTAGGAGAAGGAGACTTGGAGACGACCCCTAACTCTATCGTCTGGTCTGGCCTTTCCAGCGACAGACTTATACGTCTGTGTGTCGTTAATGAGAGCTGAAATGATGGTATCATCGACTAGTTCCACTTCACTTAAAGGGCAACATCCCCCAGAATTAATGGGCGCTGCCAACCTGCTCTCCCCGTGACGTGAGACGGATGACCGCCGCGGTCATTACCGGGAACGGCCGCTCTGCTGCCGGCCGGGGGCTTGACCGTGAAGCGGGCATAATAAAAGGGCCAGAATTTTCTAAATACCAACGACAAGCTGGGGACTTGGGGATGGGCAAAACTCGGTATCCGTCATCTTCATAAGTATCGGATCATGACAACACCAATCAAATAAAGAACAGCGTTTTGTCAGGACTACAACGTTATAGCTCAAGTATTAAACTCAAGTATAGAAATTGAAAAATTCGTTATTTAGCCAGATAATCAGTGAATGTTTTAGTACAAGATTACAGGCCAAATCTGTGATCAAACTGAAGTCTAGAATCGAAATTGAAGAATACGTTATTTAGCCAGATAATTAGTGAATATTTTAGACTATTCAAGGAAAGGAAAGAATCCGACTTAATTCTATTCTGAATATCCGACTGTGCCAGTTTTCTTGGACATACATGAAAACTCCAAAGTTAAGAATATTACGGCATAATTAATGCGTATGCTCAATAGGGTGTGAAAAAGATTTAGAAGAGCGCTAGAGAACTTCTCGTACTTTTAGTACTGTTTCATGTTCCATATAAAGATAATGGAAATGAAAGCTCATATTCGAGAGACTGATATCGATTCTTTAGATTCTTATAGCAACATAGTCATTTTTCTGAACACAACACTGTGTTAAAGTTTGAGGGTTTAGCATCAGTCCAATTTAAGTGGCCAAGGGTTTCCAATTATTTGAGTCGCACATCAGACAAAGTGGCGCTGCACTCAAACATGTTGTACAACTTATTCTGCCATCGCCACTTCCATATAAATAGTAGATATTTTTCCTAGCCTCTACCAGGCTTCGGGAGGCGACTGGAAAGAGTAGAAATTGGTCAAAGAGAGAGATACATGTAACATTTTGCCGCATTGTACTTTCTAGCGTTTGCTTTCCAAATGTTACCTTTCTAGTTATGTTTCCTCTTCTTCTCCAAACCATTAAGGTCAATGACCTGAACCGGAGTCTGTCACCATGGTAACTGGTGTTGGGTTACATCATGTCGCAATTTTATAGCAGGAGGGATTGGGACTCCGGTCAACATATAAATGAATGTTTTTGAGTAAGAATTAACAGAGCAGACCATACGCGAAGGTAACTATTTTTCATTTGTTTTACAAATATTACTTTTCTAGTTTTAAAAGCGTGTCTTGTTTTTTCTAGACCAGGGTCCGAGGCCGTTGCCCCCTCCCGTTCGGCGGTACCGCACAGCCTTCAGTCGGGAGCAGACAGCGAGGCTGGAGAAGGAGTTCCACCGGGACAACTACCTGTCACGCCCGAGGAGATGTGAGCTGGCGGCCGCTCTTAATCTACCGGAGACAACCATCAAGGTAAATGTGACCAGGCTTCAACAAAAATAAAAAAGAAAGAAAGAAAAAAAGACGAAAGACGAAATGTTAGGAAGAAAGAACACAGGAAAGGACAAGAAAGACACCGAATAGTATAAGACAAGAAAGAATAAAAAAAACAAAGAAAACTGTTGCGTTACCTTATACTATATAGTTAAACTGACTTTTTGAAAACGTCGAATCTTTTATGGTGTACAATTGGATCACCAAATTAATGCTTTCAGTGATATTTGTATATGAAAATGTAATTAAAAAGCTGATAAGTCACGAAAATCCCCATAAAATTTTCATTATTTCCGCACACCGTGGCACTATATTGATTGGTATTGCATTATTTGCTTGAACTACAGGGAGAACTCTTGACTATGTGACCGCAGTGTTAGAATAATACCCACCTGAAGTCTGCATTTTGCAGAGACATTTTTAATATTGCAGAAGAAAAAATTAAGCGACCTGCATTATCCTGCAATGTCGCAGACTAAAAAATCAAGCCAGGGGTTCAATGGTGGTATGATATTGTTTGAGAGCTTTTGTGTTTAAGTAATCTTGCATGTATTTTTGGACTTAGATGTGAAATATTTCCCCACATACAACTGTGTATATGCCATGGGTTTAGGTCCGCACTTATATGCGTGTATTTGCAGAAAGTATTTCAGAATTGCAGAACAAAATTTTGGCATTCTGCAATATTGCAGAACAGTGAAAAAAAAGGATTTCGACCACTGGAACGGACTGGTAACTTCTAGTAACTCTTTCTCTCCTTCTCTCCATTTTTCCAGGTGTGGTTCCAGAATCGTCGAATGAAGGAGAAGCGTCAGAGGATGGCGTCCTGGCCTCACCTGACGGACCCCGCGATGTCTCACCTGTGGTTCGGCGCGAAACAGCCGGGCCTTGCCCCCACGCCGGCTTCAGGCTCCCCCCTAAACCGACCCCGTACCCCTCCCCCTTCCGCAGTCCGTTAGAAACTATGCTGGGGAGTCCGTACTTCCGTTTCCCCACCCCAGCAGAAATGTTGTTCCACGCCAGTAGACACGCCCCTCTCTACCCGGACCCTGCCCTCCCCTTCACCGACACATATGGACTCTTCCGTGACCACCCTCTCTTGTCGTCTTCACTGCCTGCCATGAGAGCGGAGTTTCCCAAACTGGACGGTTTCACTACGGCAGAGGGGTTCTCCCTCTTCCAGAAAGCCAAGCAAGCAGAACAGAAGGACATGTCGAGGTGAACAGCCGTTTTTTCAGACGTTTCAGAACTCAAGCAAACCTACTACATGTACCACTGAAGCGTAGATGTTGTATTCTTCTTTGTTGTATTTCAGGACAAGTTGAATGCATGTACACTGTGCTACCAGGATTTTGCCAATGCTTTATGCAAGTTTCGACAAATGCTGAAGTAAAGTAAGACCCATAAAGTACATTCAGCATGCATATGTCACAAAATGATACTACTCTAGACTATAAACTGGCAAAATGTTATTTGTGGCGTTGTATGATGATATGCAAGGAAAAACGAAAAGGCATCACAAAAACGAGAGGACAGAAGAAAGTGTATGTATCATGTTTTACGTTTTTCTGTCTTGAATGTTTTTTTAATCGGAATAAACCATGAGAAAGAAGTCAAAGCGAAAACTGAAACCTAAAAGGTATGAAAAAGAAAGATTAAGAAAATAATGGACATGATCTTCCCGGTTTATGACGTAAATAACAATATTGGTCTGATTGAAAATATGGATTATCAGTGCATTTTAAGAAATATCATATTCCACGTCGATGATGTATATAGATATATGACTGTATACCGATGTTCATTTTCAGATGTCTTTCTACATGTATAGCAATGTTGTTCTGGGTATAGTATATATACAAGCTGATGAATAAAACATTAAACTGTCCAAATGCCCCTTGTACTTTTTGTCCCAATCAATTAGACAATGGCAATAACAGATATTAGATAAGTCATTCCAATGTTTTTGGTTAAAGTAAAATGGCTTAAGTCATTCCATATTACTTTAGGGTAAGTTGATATGATAATTTTCATTATTTTTTTTTTACCATTAGGCCACACCATCTTAATTTGTTGCTTCTCGGATCTTTTCAGAAAAAAAAAATGAAGCGACAGGGCAAAAAAAAAAACAGGCCAAGGNACCCCATGATAGCCGGAAATGTTACAATATGAGCCATGAAGTCAACATACCAGGCTGGTTTATAACTAAAACAATAGATTTTGAACTTTTAATGAAACAAAGTTGCATTGTTACATTGAAAAACTAGGAAGGAAAGGACTTTCTCTTCAACGTACCGTTGGGGCCAAAATATGTCTTTCATTGAGCATTTTGTAGTTGATTTTGAACTTAAAAAAATCTTTTTTTTGCAAATAGGAAAAGAATGGGCAGGGCGAATCCAAGAAACAACAAATTAAATTGGTGTGGCCTTACAAATGGCAATTTTATCGACACAGCGAAGTATTGAAAGGAGTGACATTGCGTAGTACCTCAACACGCGAGAGTCATTCAGCACCAAGGACAGGGAAGTGTCAGGATGAGAGAGTTGTGTTCAACCCCTCACAACACGCGAGAGTCATTCAGCACCAAGGACAGGGAAGTGTCAGGATGAGAGAGTTGTGTTCAACCCCTCACAACACAAGAGAGTCATTCAGCACCAAGGACAGGGAAGTGTCAGGATGAGAGAGTTGTGTTCAACCCTTCACAACATATGAGAGTCGTTAAATACAACAGGAAAGGCCATACGATTTAGGAAGATTTACCACATTTGTGGAAGGATGATCAGAGGTGACTATCGCCTTTTCAAGATGTCAAACCTGAGACCAGACTGTAAGGTTTGAACCACTCACACCGGGAAGGACCCCTACTCTTTTTGACAAGTGTGGTGGGATCTTCAGCGTGCTCAAGGTGTGGCGTCCCTTAAACATGGGACCCATGGCTTTACGCCCTATCTGAGAGACTGTCCCTAACAGAAGCTAAGCTCTAATTTACACCTGAGTCAAGTGAGGAAAATGATGTGTAAAGCTCTTCGGTATTGAGTTTATGAATGAAGATAATGTTATAAGCATATAGTATTATGGTCTGAAGAGTTAGCGTGACGGCGAGTTACTAGTAGATATAAGAATTCAATAACCTAAGCCAAAGATTCGCGCTGTCAGAAATAAAACGACTAAAAAAAATGGCCAGCTAAAACCGGTACTTTATTTTGCAGACAGGACGTTTTGTTTGATTTAGTTGATTCATTTTGATTTGTACACCAGCCTACTATGTACCCTTGTCATTTCTTATTATTATTATTACTTTGTTTTATTGTATCCTTTTATGTGTGAGGAGAGGGCTGAGATAAGTTTTATAACTTTTTGCCTCATCCTCGGAAAATAAATGTGAATAAAATAAATAAAAACCGGTACAAAATTCAACACGACATTGACAACGATAACCGAATCTCTTTCGAATTCCTTGCGTCGGTCATCCTTTTCCTCTACCCCTACCGGTATCGGCAGACTTGTCACACGCCATTTCATATCCCACTTGCCATATTCTTAGCCTCCGTAGCAGGCTTATAGAACTGGGGGTTTGGTGGTCTTCGGCTGTTTTCTGATTAGCCCTGTTCTAAAAAAAAACGGGGGTAATTCAACCAGGCCGGCTATGTTGTCTATATGCAATCAGAAAATAGCACATAAAAGATCCCAAAGACCCTGAAGACCCCCAAAGCCCCAGTGGCATGCTATGGAGGCTACCATATTCTCTCCCTTCTTTTTTTTGCGAAAAAGAAGAAGAAACAAAGTGCAGGACCAATAACGCATTCACCCCGGCCGTGAACTGTGATAACACAAGCAGGATTCAGACAGCAATAAAGTGACGCTGAATAGAATGAAGACCGCAATCATCATTCTTCCCGAGGATATTGCACTGTCCGCACCATCACCGGTACTTTATTTGTTCTCCCGGACAAATTTGTCTTGATTGTGGAACAGTAAAAACTTGGACCTTAATGTTGCGGTGCAAAAAAAGCTGTTATTAGCGGTTGGTAGACGGCACAAGAGCAATGTGTTGCGGGCAAACAACACTCTGTAACTATGCGTCTTCATTGTTATGTGCTGCGCAATATGGGAAAGTACATCCCGGCAATATATAACCAATTATCATCGAATTTCGCCGACTCAAACTGGCCAATTTCATGAGAAAATTGTACTAAATCGACCAATTAGGTCCATGATGTCTCATTTTTTCCCTCTCGGTTGAATCAATCTTTAATGATATAACTCTTGCTTCAATGAACGTACATCATTTACCGTGATGCCTTCCCCCAGAGTTTCAATCTACGCGGCACAAACAAAATGAAAACTTTGGTATTGTTCTCGCCATTACGTTCCATTACGCAGGCCATTTTTCAAAGTTAGGCCTGACAGTTGAGAAAGCTTAATGTTGCGCTCTGCTATCATCATACATGTCATAATGGGCCCCGGCCACTTTCCCGCGCCGCCATATTGACATCTCGGTATCATCCGGGCATCTGTCATGTCAATTTATAAATCCCCGGATGAACGGGTGCTCTCTATGTGGTGCGCTCGGGCACTAAGCCCGGCAATAATTTTTGATCATTCCTCTGATCATAACGTAGGGAAGTGAGATCGATGCGGTTGGTACAATGTAATAAATATACCGGCTTCCGGGCGGCTGACTCCGTATCGACCCGGGATATGTCGTCGTGCAGAGGCGGGTGGAAGTTTGGAGTTAGTTGGGCTCAAACTTTACCGACACCCCCGTGGTTTGTACAGGTATACGGTATGCCATCAGGAAAGCTGAGGCCTCTAAATACTGGTGTTCAGTCATCTTCACACCTAGATTATATTTCAAGAGTGACTTTATATATTTGCAGCGTTTAGGTCAATCATTGGTTTACGTATTTGTATGTACACAACAACTTTTTCGAGGGAGGGGGGGCATTTCTTAACGTTGCAAAGGCAACGTACATAGAATGTTTGGTGCCATATTGTTTACAGCTTGTTAGGTGCATGATATGAGGCCATCAACGTTTGATTGCTTGCAAAATATGGCTCTAATCTGGGTTTCTAGTTTTTATATTGTCAGTACATTAAACTAGTCTGTAATGTGGTTGTTTCTTTCTAGGTTGTTACTTTGTCTACGTTTCTCACTAAGTGCCGTTCATTATTATGAAATTTACCGCCCATAAAATTGCTTCCTACTAACACAAATGTCTTCTCTATTCTGTGATTTTGTTTACCTATCATGTGTACACATAATGGTAAATGCGTCTGGATGTCCCTGTGACAGCTATAAAGTCGGCTAATGTCGTTTTGGAAAGATTTGAACAGTCTTACACTAATGACGATTCCTCTGATATGCCCATCATTTCCTGTTATGGTCAGTGAAAAAGAATTTGTTATTCCCAGAAGGTCCACTTACAGCAAGTTGGCACTGCTTGGGTCTACACGTCTTTCTCCCCAAAACGAGCTCTAGTTCGCTTTTATTACTGTCTTGATGTATGTGAATGTTTATACGTAGCAGGAGACAGTACGTTATGGCGCTTGGACGGTTTACACCAGGCATGAAGAGTGTCTCGAATATCGACCTCAAACTTTGACGAGTCTTGTGTTTTAAACGACGGCCATAATCCTCCTCATAGCCGCCAACATTCGAATAATGATGTTATCATTCAAACCAATTTCCATCGCCATCAACAAGCCGTATTAGTGGACTAATCTATCATCTCCGTAAATCGCACTGCACTGCAATTTGAGGTAATAAACTGTATCCTGGCAAATTTAAGCATCTTGACCCTGTTCTCCCGCAACGGTCGCTGTAATAAGGGAAGCCATTACGACGTTAGAATGATTACGTAAACCAAGACAAATGGCAGACGACATCGTGCGGAATGATTCGGCTGCCCTGTTACCACGGCTGACCGGTATCTGTCAGGAACACTTTAAAACCACATGGGAATGGCAATATTATTGTATAGTACAGAAGCTTTCTTTGCCTTATGTGGTATTATTACGTTACAACAAAAACTGGAAATACACACAGAAAAAAAAGAAAAAAAACTGCCAGGAAACACACGAACACACACACACACACACACACACACACACACACACACACACACACACACACACACACACACACACACACAGACACACACACACAGACACACACAGACACACACACATGCGAGCTAGAATATGTAACAAAAGACGATCATTTTACATCAGAATTTACTCGATAAGATAACAGCAATTCAAATCTAG